ATAATTCGCTCGGGTGGGAGGAGGCGCGGGCAAACGTTTTGACTGGCGGGGCCACAATTGTCCTAAAATTGAACAGGGAGTCCGGGTCAGGAGCAGATAGATGGAGCATTTGTGGCTAACTAAGATAAATGACATGTGAAAGTCAGTGCACAAGGGCTAACATGCTAAAATGCTTTTATCATTTTCTATGCCATCTGTTGGGGAAACGTGGGTATTGCAGAGAAAAAGACAGACTAAACGGGCCACTTGTGGTCCCCGGGCCTTAGTTTGCCCATGCCTGGGTTAGAACATTGAGTGAATGTTTGAGTCTGGGGCTAAGTGGAGGTTCTTCTCGGTACTTCTTGGCTAACATCTACACTTCTGATTCAGCTGTTCAACAGATAAAACTCAGATGATTTTTTTTTTTGTACATCAGTGCGTGATAATTGATGACTGACGGTGGATGAGAAATTGGTCGGAGAGGATGATGACATCATCCTCTTTGACCAGTTTCCCATCTACCTCATCAGTGAGCTGTTGGTGGTCAGTCGAGCTCTCTGAAGATTGGAGGTCCAGACGCGGGTCCGGTTCCAAGTGTGATGGCCCTGTGTTGCTGGGCGGGCTGTTCACAGATTGAGACATGTAATTGGCCGACTCTTGTTGCGGTTGGCTCTGGGTGCTAACTGGGGGTGTGGCCATGTACTCCAGGTGATGAATGCCCCACACGGGTGTGGTCAGGTGAGCCCAGCGCTGTAACACACGCACAAAGCAATCAGGGTCATTAGTGATACTTGAGAGTGATGAATCAAGGCAGCATTACGGAAGCAAAAATTCATTTAGGGGAAACAGCAAAATCAAATTAAAAATCTTTTCCTGCTGGAAGCTAATATTTTTTTATTTCTACGGCTGTATGCTAAACAGCTGGTCCTCACTTAACGACGTAGTCGTTTAACGACGACTCAGTGTATTTACATTTTGGATTTTCAGTACTTGGGCTCAATACTGTACTGTAAAGTACATACTTTATTATTATTATTATTATTATTATTATTTGTTTTGTATCCTATGTCACTTTCTGTTAATAAAATAATGTAAGCAAGTTTGTGTTTTTTATAGTGTATGTACATGATGTAATCCAACAGATGAGTAAAGGAAGAGAAAGGCTACAACAGTTATATTGCAATACATTTAGCAGACACTTACAATTTGAGTCAGTCAATCTAGAATTAACATACAAATGCATAAATAATAATAAATAATAAATAGTAAAAGCACAGTTATGGTCATAGTAGGTCATAGAGTAAGAAGAGGTGTGTGTCAGATGTTAGTGGGTTTGTTAAAATAAGTCAATAAATAATATAATAATAATAATACAAATAAAGTAATACGGTATAAATAGTCCATGCGTACGCAAATAGAAACATTTTTGTTTGTATTTGTTGTCAGGGTCGTTGTCGGGGTTTCATTTAACAACAGGGTCTTCGGAAAACACAACCCCGCCTTTAAGTGAGGACCAGCTGTGCTTTACTTTTATACTGTGTAATAAAAAAAAATTAATTATTATTTTTATTTATTAAAATTAAAATTATTATTAATTAATTAATTAATATTATATTATAATAATTATTATTATTTATTATATTATAAATAATATAATATTATTCATTTATTTATAATTTATTTATTTATTATTATTTATTTTTTATTATATTATTATTTATTATTATTTA